CTTGTCGCGTAGTACAAGACAGGTGGACACACGGCTTGCAGACTTCCCAGGGCTGCAAAAGTCAAGATTCAGGTTCAGTAAGAGTTTTACGGCACTTGCAACGCAATACGGTCATATAAGTGACGAAGATTAGAAGTATTACGAGAGAGTAAAGTAAAGTTGTTTCCGCATCCGATCCGGACATTGGGGATTGTCTTGTTAACGAGACAACTTCCTGGGCCTTCGACATAGTGTTGTAGGGTGGCCAGTTCCTTTCCACGCCGCCTTTACTTCCCCAACGAGAGAGTAACAAACACAAAAAGAAGGAGGAAAGATAAGGACGGTAGATGTTTGATAGGAAAGGAGGGAGCAGCAAACCGTACCAGAGCACCCGCCAAACACCCTACGTTGCTGAGAAAAAACAAACAGGCAACACAGATGTTTTGTTTTTTCAGCCCAGAGCCGAATGCCATTAATTCCATAATTGTTTTTGCCTCACAGTTTGTCTACCATGCAGTGTCTATGGTGTAGTGGCTCAGTGCGTCTCTGTCGCACGCAGTAGACCCGGGCTCGATTCCAGTGTGGGGGGAATCGGTCGCTTTTAAGGACAAGCGGACTAACCCTGGCTTCTAGAAATCCTGACCTGCACCAAAATTGGGCATTGCTCTACCTATAGGAGAAGTTTGGTTTCATCTGTGTGTATATTTGTTTGGTTATAGAGAAAACTCTCCTTGTCTTTTATAGAAACTGAATAAGGGTAAAAAACTTTACCTTCGATTTTCTCAAAACAACATTTTTCGTGATAGCCCCCTTGTGCTTAAAAGCGACCAAGTTTTCTCTCTCGATGTTGCGTCCGTCTCAGCCCGGGTTGACCTGATAGGCAGGGTCAAAGCCCGCCTCCTAGAATGTCTAAATTGAGTCGATGTGGGTGTAAAATCACCCACATTAAACACATTCACTGCTTAATTCAAACCCAAACTCGAGCTTCCCGTGAACAGGAATGGACTGGAAAGGGCTACAAGGAACTCCTTTATTTTGATCTTGATACTGATCTAGAGGCTACCTAAAGATACAAAGGAGAAAATACGACAAACTCAAAATATGTCACCTATCAGCTCGCACTTCTTCTGCATCAGCCAAACATCTGTATAAATTCAATACAAAGAGACGGCTTGTTTCTCCACTATGCATACCAAAGAGTATCCGAAGAATTAAATGGCAGGATAGCGTAAGAAATGAAGAGCTGTGGGAAAGGACAGGAAAAAAGGATATAGAAGTAGAAATAGGACTTTAAAAAGTGGCGATGGATGGGACACACCCTCAGAAAGCCCAGAGGAAACATCACAAGACAGTCGCTGCAGTGGAACCCACAGGGAGCACGAGGCAGGGGTAGGCCAAGGGAAACATGGAGGAGATGTGTGGAAAGGACAATGAAAGAGATGAAGCTCTTTTGGAACGAGCTTAGAAGGATGGCCCACGACAGAGATTAATGGAAGGAGCTTGTATATGGCCTATACCCTGCCAGGGGTTAAAGGCATTGATGATGTATACCAAAAGTTATGCTTCCAATAATCTCATCACCATCATCATCATCCGGTGCCTTGCCGACTGGCGTGAGCGATCATGGACCTCCACTTCACTCTGTCTTGCGTTGCAGCGATGGTGTCTGTTGTTCTTGCTGTTCCAAGCCATGTTGTCAATTCGTCCAGTAT